ATGCAAAATACTGTATGCAAAATACAGTCTCACACCTGTAACCCTAGCTACTCAGGATGCAGAGATCAGGAGGTCTGCAGTTCAAGGCCAGCCCGGGGCAAATGATTCACAAGACCCTATCTTGAAAAAACCCACCACAAGAAAAGGGCTGGTGGTGTAGGCCCTGCGTTCAAACCCCAGTACACACACACACACACACACACACGCACACACACACATTTGTCACTCAACACATCTCATTTCCTTCACCCTGCTTTTAAATTTCACAAGGGTTCTAGGCACACAAGATGGATTTGCCCCTCTAAGTTTAAATTTACCTTGACTACAGTCCAGTGCTGTCAATCACGCTCCCCCTTGTCACCATTTTCCTCTGCTCCTCAAACAATTATTCAGTCAGTTGGCCAATGGAGCCCCAGGAGTTCAGGAGCACTGGAGAAAGGGTTCTGTCATCACCCCAGCCTCAAAGCATTCAAAGCTATATTGAAGAAAAATGAAATACATCCCAGTTGAACAAAACAAACTCTGTGAACCAGAGGCTATGAAGTGTGGAGGAGCAGGCCTAAGCACAGCCAGGGAGACTGCAGGGAGATGGTGCCATGTGAGCAACAATCTAAAGGATGCAAAGATTTGGAGAAGTGAACCAGGCAAATGAGGGTGCGAGACAAGGGGTCCCAGCATGCACAAAGACCCTGGATGGTGAACTGACTGACAGTACTGGGGAACAAGAAGAGAAATCTCTTGGTTAGCACAGATTGTTCCTGGTGCAAGGCTGTGAACAAAATTTAAATAAGTGATTTTGAGACACCATGAGGCAGAGAAACGTTTTCTTCCACTAGACAAATTACTATTAATTTTCTGCCAGTATATCTTCCTGTGACAATAAAATTTTAAACGTAGCTGTGTGCAAATGAGCACAAGGGATCTTTAGAGGGTGATGAAAACATTGTAAAGCTGCATTGTGGTGATGGTTTAATTATACACTTCAAATGGGTAAATTGTACAAATTTATGGGGTCTTGAGTGATAATTTATACATGTATATGTATATATATCACAGGTAGTGATCAAAGCAAGGTAGGCAATATTTCCATCTCTGTAAATATTTTAATAATTTTTATTAGCATGTAATAATTGTACACATTTATGGAGTACAATGTGATGATTCAATGCACACAAATATATATTGATCAAATCAGGTAATTAATTGTTTCCATCTCCTTATTATTACTTTGTGCATGGAAACTTCACACTCCTTTTTTCTAGTTATTTGTAAAATATACAAGAGGTTATTACGCACTATACACAGTCACCCCACTTTACTATTTAGAATTAATACAAACTTAATACAACTTTTTTTAAAAAAAACCTTTGTAACTTCTAATATTCTAAAGTTTTGGTTTGGTTTGATTTGGGGTTTTTTTTTTTGTACAGCACTGGGGTTTGATCTCAGGGCCTACACCTCAAGGTCTGATATGTTTTTTCAAAACGGAGTATTATGAACTATTTGCCCAGGCTGGCTTCAGGTGGCAGTCCTCCTGATTTCTGCCTCCAGAGCAGCTAGGATTACAGGTGTGAGCCACCGCACCTGGCCTCTGAAGTTTTTTTTTTTTTTAAGTTTTATTAAGTTTGTGTTGACTCTGATTTCTGGGTTATTGTGATTCCTTGTAGGCCCAGTTGCTGGAAGCAGGCCATGTGTTTATGTTACATTTTACTCCATATTTATTGAGCAAGCAAATGTTTTATAGACAATTCAACTAAATACTATGTCAAATACATTTGACTTTTCCCTCATCTGTTTTATACTTAAGCCATTGAATATTAGGGGGAAATGATTGTTAAGTCTTCTGTTCTGAGAGAAGAGATCTGAAGATCTGATCGTGGAGTCCACCTATGAACAATGATGCAGGCAGATCTGAGCTAATAGGGCAGATTAGTCCAAAAAAAAAAAAAATCCTTGCAACGGCTTTTCCATGTGATAATCTTACCCATGGAAGAAAGCAAGTCAGAAAGCAAAGCAAGACACTCTACTGAAATGATCGACACACTCAGGATAACATGCCCTGGGAAAAAAAAACCCACAAAACCTACCTACCCTTATTTCTAAAAGGTTCTCAACCCAGGCTGACGTGGAGCCCAGCCCTGATTGCTCCAACATTAGTACACAGTGTTCTGGTGACACCTAGTGGCTCAAGTCCAAATAGTGGCCGTGAACAGGAGAAGTTGGGAGCAGACACTGGACAGAAACTGCTCTTGAACTGACTGGTCCTAAGTCATTTTGCTTTGTTTCTTTGTGTGTTTCAGATTCCTTCATGGTTGCTCAAACTCCTAGAAAGATAACAGCTCTCACAACAGTTAAAATGACCAAATGGATCACGCTGATCTTTCTTGGGATCCTGACTCTCCTTTCTCTTCTTTCTCTAGGCCTGCTGATCTACTTGGCCCCTCTGTGCAGTGAGCCCCACAATTCCACTCCCTGGTCCTCATGAGCCCTTGTCACCTGGAGGCCACAGGCTGACATTCTGACACCTGCCTTCCCCACCATCAGGCAGCACCTCAGGTTTAGAGAGGGGTCCTGAGGAAAGTCTGCAACCTGCACCTCAGGGTGATGGGTGCTGTGCTGGGGAAACAGATAATCCTCTAACCAGAAGTTTGGACACAACAACAAAGTGAAGAATTTTAGGGGAAATGCTCAGGGGTAGTCATTACTCCAATGGGCAACTTTTGTGCCAGCTCTGCCTCCTGGAGTCTGTCTGTGAGGAATGGTGGGATAGGGAAGTTGGATTTGCTCTTTCAACTTTGAATGACAGGCCCAGGGAGGGACCATAGGACAGAGCCATTGTCACTGGCATCCGTGAATGGAGCCAGCCTTGGGGAGATCCTGGGACTACCCAGCAAGCTGAGTGGAGCACACTGTCTAGGATGGTCAACCCGGGACCCAACAGGCTTTTCAACTCTTTCTCTCTCCTCTTTCCCACTAACAGCTGCTGCCCCTTCAATTCTTTTGAATGATAAACTGTACACCCAGAGGAGGAGCACTGACAACCTTGTGAATACAGTTTTGCTCTGGTCAAACAGCTCAGACCAGACAAAGATCAAGGAGTTTATTTTCTGAACTTCTTCTTCCCACTCATACCTTGGATAGAAGAGTGGGCAGTAATATGTGTGACAAAGAGTAGGGTCTGTGGTTAACTCCACAGTCTAATATCATGTTGACAAATGGAATGATATGCACAGATAACCCAGGATCTTAGAAAGGCAAGAAACTCTAGAAGTCACCTGGGGTAGAGGTCCTCCCTCAGAGAGGAACCTAACTCAGAGAAAGGAACTGACCCTTGGTCATCCAACCCAAGATTAGAAGCCAGAGAAAAACCAGAGGCTAGAGCTCCACCCCAGCACAGACATCATTTCAGTAGACATGTACTGTGTGCTTCTAGCCAATTGCTACCTTTTTCGTTATAGGAAAGTATAATGTCTTGAGAAGATTCTTTTCTACATTTGGCACACTGCTAATGAAAACATACTCGATACCATCACATCTAGATGTTTCTCTCTAGCATTCAGTTACTCTCATGTAAACTCTTGTTTGCAATACTTGCTGCTGTGCACAGAAATGTGCACATTAGCTGCAGTTTGGTTGGTTGGTTAGTTGATTGGTTAGTTGGTGGTTGGTTGGTTGGTTACTTGGTTGATTGGCTGGTTGGTTGCTTTGTTGGTTGATTTTCTCAACAAAGTTCTACTTTAAGCAGACTTTCTTAATGGATATGTAAAAATAGAAGTGTCTATTAAATGCCCTTTATTTTATTTTTTCCACTCTTGCAGATGCCTGTTGTCCTTTTAAAAAATTTATTGGCATGTAATAGTTATATAAAGGATCCATTATGGTAGTTACACAAGTACTCACAATATATCTCAGATTTATCCCCTCTATCATTTTCCCTCTTCCCCCCATCCCCCTTCTTAAAACAATTTCAACAGGTGTCATTCTCCTATTTTCATATATGAATACAAAATACATCTACCATATTCACCCTCATTCCCCCTTTTCTTATGCCCACCCCTTCCCACTGGTACCCACCCGTGGAAAAGATCTATTTTGCCCTCCTGCCCTTCATTTTTTAAGTGTATATTGATAGTCCAAGGGGAGGGGTCACCTTAGTATTTTATCATGCTTTGATCAAATTTTTTTTTATTATTGCACACTTTTATTTACAGAAAACACGGATAAAGCATTTCAATGTTCATTTAGCAAACTGATTCACTTTTTTTTCTTTTTGGCACAAAGAAATATCACAGATGGACCCCAAGATCAATCAGAAGCTCAAAGATTCATCAGTCATCACTGGTCCAGGGGCAGCCACAAGACTCAGACAGACAAACAGCATCATCACAGACTGGAAAAAATAAACAAGGTCCACATTCACCTCACAGTTAAAAACCTGCTCACCGACAGGCAAGGGTGGGCAGGGGGGCAGTTTTTCTGCTCCCAGGGAGGAAGTGGGAGCCAGGGGCAGGAAGCAGGGATGGGCGAAGGTCAGACCCTCCCCCCTTTCCTGAACTAGAGAGAGGTTTTGTTTTTAATCCTCTCACCTTGTAGAAATAAGACAGTGCAAAAACCACAATGCCCCGACAACTCATCCACTTGAAAAGCTTGACAAGGTGTGTGTTGGGGGAGGGGGCGCCTCTCCTCTGTGCCCAGTGTGCGTGTGTGAATGTGTGAGTGGGGCGCTTGTGAACATCGTCACTGTCCACGAAGAGGTCCAATGTCTAAATGGGGTGGGGTGGGATGTACCCCACTTCACGTGCCCTCTGCCCCAGCCAGTCCCATCGGAGACATAGTGCAAATTTCAGAGACAAAAAGACGCAGAAGGGAGTGGAGTGGGCAGGAGCCAGGAAGGACACAAAGGCAGGGTGGGAGAGGGAGGGGAAATAAGGCAACAGTTAAAAATGGTCCGTTATCAAAACCCGGCGCCACGTGCCTTCCACCCCCACCGCAAGCCCATGTCACAAGAAAGGGTGGAAGTCCCGCTCCTCCGCCAGGCTGATGGTGGGGTTCTTCAGCTCCTCCTCCGAGGCGGCCATCCGGTATCCCAGCTGGGCCAGCACCTGCTGGCAGGCGTTCTGGGCGAAGGCCACAATATCATAGGAGAGGCAGAAGCGCCACTTCTCGGCGGTGGCAGCCGAGTTGCGCACGGTGCCGTATTTGTGCTTGCCCAAGGTGGGGTCGCCCCGTGTGTTCTTTTGGATCCAGCGGGCCACATGGCTGTCCAAGGGGATGCCCAGAAACCCGTGGATCTCCTCGGTCTTCTTCATGGGGCTCCTGGCCAGGTCCTCATAGCGCACCAGCATGTACTTGCCCTTGAGCCACGGGGGCCGCATGAGGCCAGTGGACACGGAGTTGGAGAAGTCCTCGCACACTGTGGTCAGCTGTGTCACATCCAGGTTGTAGGGCTTCCTCCCTGTGCCGTACCAGAGCCTCCAGAGCCGGTATGTGTCACGGAAGGTCTCACTCCTTGACGCCAGGATACCACGAGGGTCTCGGATCAGCTGGATGACCTTGAGGTTTAACCCGGGGTCTTCAACCAGGGCCCGCAAGTCATTCACCTCGGGCACGCGCACCGTCTTGATGGCCAGGTGGCTGTGCTCGCGACAGGCCTCTGCGCCACGGTCAGGTTCCGCAGACCGCACTTGCGTACACAGTCCCCCTCCTCCAGGACCTGGTCGGGGGACCCCGGAGGGTCGCACACGGGGCGAGAGCAAAGGACTCTGCTGGCCCCACGGCGGAAGACCCTGTCTGAGGTGTGATTGACAGGAGGTGGCTTGATGTAGTTCTCCAGAAAGTAGAGGTCACCGTCGTAAAGGCTCCTCAGGAGGTCGCGGCTGGCACCCAGCATCACCCTCCGGTCAGCGGGGCTCTTACCCTGGGTGAAGCGGGGGATGAGCGTGTTCTGGACGAGGTAGACGGACTCGAACAGGTAGACGTCCAGGTGCTGGTTGAAGAGCTGGCCCACAAACGATGAGCCGCCGCGTGTGGTGGCCGGGATGAGGATGTGGGTCTTCCGGGAGAGGTTGTAGGCGAAAGTGGGGCCCTCCTCACACAGCCGCTCCGCCACCCCGGCCTCCGCCAGCCCTGGGCAGTGTGGAAGGACTTGGCTGTGAAGGTGCGGATGGCTGTGTACTGGATGGCTATGGAGGCCAAGGCGAGGAGGAGGACGGCCTTCCAGGAACATTGCATGGCTGGGCACCTTCATGGGGCGGCTCCAAGGCTCCAGCTCTGCAGGCACAGCTGGCCAGCCGCTCCCCACAAGCAGGAGACTGCAGAAGACCCAGGGAAACACCTGCTCTTGCCCAGGGCTCACACACACCCCAGTAGGCCTAAACAGCTTTTACTCTAGACTTTGCCATTCCTGGAAGCTCCCTCAACAAACTGGTTTCTTGCACCCCAAGATCTACCCTACACATCACTGCTACTGTGCCTAATTCCCCCTAACTACCACACTCAGGGATGCCTTGAGCCTTACCCTGCCATTGCCTGTCACCCTTGATAGCATCCCTGGGGCCACCTGCATCTTCTCCAAGCCCTGAGAACTGGTACCCAGGTGGTCATCTTTTCTCTGTTCTCTGCCCATCCCAAAGGGGACTGGTCTATGCCGGCGTCTCAGCTGCCAGCTACCTAGGCCCAGCCAGTGGCAGTCCAGTGGTCTGAGTCTGTGTGGCAGCCCTGCGGCCTGCAGGCTTTTAGAATTCAGCTTATTCAGTGATGGGGTTTGTGAAGTCACCCCAGGATTCCAGGTCAAAAGGACAGCTCCAGAAGGACAACCAGGAAGAGCAATCTTTTTCTGACCACTCTGAGAGAGGGCACCGGCTACCTGGTCGGGGGCGCGCCGGGAGCCGCTGCAGCGCGCAGCGCCGGCTCCATCCTCGGATCTGGAGTCAGGCTCGCCGGGGGCCCGTGGGTGGCGGCGGCGGCGGTGACATCCTCCGCCTCCCGCGCCCTGCTCCTCGGCCTCCCTCCTCTTCCTCCGCCTCCGCGCCCCGCACGGGCCCCTCTTCATGGCCTGGGGGTGCGAGCCCGGGGCGGCTCGAGCAGCACCGCGCGTTCACCAGGGCCGAGCGCGGGATGGGGGTCCGAGAGGTTGCAGGCCAGGGGCCTCGATCCGGAGCGCCGCAGCCCCGGGCACCGCAGAACAGCAGCCGCAGGCGCTGGAGCTTCACGGAGCGCCCGCCCCGCGTCCCGGAATCCGGAGCAGCGGCGACTCCAGCGCCGAGCCGCTTTGATCAAATCAAACCCCGTTACTTACCTTTCATTACCATGCTCCCTCCCCTAAGATCAACAGCTTCCAGTACCGCACATTACATTATATTCATGTATAGATGGGTTGTTGTGACATTTTTCATTCTCTTTTTCTTTCCCTCTCTTAACTCCCTTAGTCCCCTCAAACATTCTCTAAGAGAAGTAAACCAGACTCAAAGTCAAAGGTCATGTTTCCCTTCGTATGTGGAAACTAGACCTATAAGTTAAATGTATATATAGATACATATATGATCACCTATATATATGTATATAGTCACACACATACATACACACATTTGTATACATATATATGTATATATGTACAGTGAGAGAGAGAAAAATGGCCTTAATGTTAACACCTTTGTTCTTTTATAAGTGCATTACTATGACACTGAAATAGTTTTTGGTCAAAATATGATTAAATATTGGCTTAAATGTTGGTTTTATATGGTTCAACCTAATAGTACATCAGGGAAGGGTATAATTTTGGAGAATCTTACTTTGTGAAAAAAAATCATTTGCATTGACTTCATGCCTTTTAACAGAATTTATTTGCTTTTATGTACAAAAACTACAGGTTTTGGATATTCTGGAAACAGATGTCATAAGAATAAGAAAGTTTCATTTTTAAGAAAAAGAAAGTATAGTGAATATAGTTCCCAATAAATTGTACCTCTACTTTTTTCCTCCCGAAGGAAACTAATGTCTTAAAGATTCTTCTGTCACTGAAACAGACGTCAGTAAATTAAGTCAAAAGACTAAATGTCCTGGTGTCCTCTCTGTCACATGCTGCCCTTGTTCTGCAGTGCTGGAGGAGTCTGCTGATCCTCGGAGGTTGCTGTTGGGTTTTACCTGTTTGCTCTTAAAAAACTCACAACTCTTCTCTTTTTTCAACCTTTCTGCAATCTGACTGGAATGCTCATAAAATCTATTGTAAGTCCAACAAAATCAGCTAAGGCCTGCACACACCTGGGCATAAACTCCTTAAATAACAAAGTGTTTAAGATGTGTTTTGAGAAGATGAAATACAGGGCTGGTGGAATGACTAGAGAGTCTGCCTAGCAAGCATGAGGCCCTCAGTTCAAATCCCAGTACTGCCAAAAAGGGGGGGAAAAAAGAAGATTAAATACTGAGGAAGTGACTTATATAATAAAAGTTAAAAAACACTGTTGAAGTTAAAGATGACATAATAGGAAAGACAACCATGTTCACAGATTGGAAGACTTAGTATCATTAAAATGTCAACACCAATCCAAAGCATTCTGTAGATTCTAAAGTTCATATAGAATTTCATAGAACCCCAAATACACAAAGCAAGCTCTAAACAAACAAAGTCAGACATCTCACATTTTTTGCTTTCACAATTTGCTACAAATCTATAGTACCAGATGCCATTATAGTGTAGCACTCACATACAAACACAGAGGCCGGCAGAATAAAAAAAAAAGGGTACTGAGAAAATTGGATTGTCACATATAAAAGAATTAAAACAATGCAAATATTAACTAAAAATGGATTAAAGACTGAAATATAAGAGCTAAAACCATAAAAATACTAGAAGAAAATATAAGGCAAAAACTCTATGACATTGTATTTGGCAAGGATTTTGTGTATTACCAAAGGCACAGTCAACAAAAGAAAAGACTAACTGAATTGGTCAACATGCCTGCAATCCCAGCACTTGGGAGGCTGAGGCAGGAGGATTACAAATTCAAGGCCAACCTAGGCTATAGAGTGAAACCCTGTCTCAAAAAAAATCAAACAAAAAAATCAAATTCATCAAAAATTTTTAAACTTTGTGCATTAAAGACACCATCAACAAAGTAAAAGACAACCTACAGAGCACAAGATTTTCAAATCATTTATCTGATAATGAATTTATATCCAGAATGTATCCAGAATTTCTAAAACTCAGCAACAACAAACAACTCAATTAAAAACAGTCAAAGTTCTTGAATAGATATTTCTGCAAATAAGATATGCAAATAATAGACAAGCACATGAAAAAACATTTAACATCAACAGGAAGTGGGAAATGCAAATCAAAGCCATAATTAGATCTCACTTCATCCCCACTAGAATGGCAACAGAAATGGAAGGACCTGGGACCGTGCACTGGTAGTGGGAATGTAAAATGGTATGGTTTCAACAGCTTGTTCCCTTAAAAAGTTAAAGAGAGAATTACAATATGACCTAGGAGCTCCACTCCTAGGTATAAACGTCAAATAATTAAAAGCATGTACTCAAAAAATTTTAGTAGCATTGAACAAAATATTCACAGCAGTCCATCAACTGATAAACTGATACACAAATTGTGGTATCTTGGTAAAATGGAATATTATGTAGCCATAAAAAAGTTAAGAGTATATGTGATACAACACAGTTGACTTGAAAACATTCTGCTGAGTGAAAGAAGTCAGACCAAAAGAAGAAAAAGATCTTTGAAGAAATGTATACTTAAACCCTTTATCCATTTTGAATTGAGTTAAGTTGTTGAGTTATATTCTGGATATTAAGCCCTTATTCAAATATATGATTTGCAAATATTTTCTCCCATTTGGCAAATTGTCTTTTTTTCACTCTTGAAAATGATCTTTCATGACAAAAGATTTTGAAAATTTTGTTTTTGTTTTTGTTTTTGCAGTACTAGGGTTTGAATCAAGGCCTCACACTTGCTAGGCAGGTGCTCTACCTCTTGAACCACTTTTTTTGTGAAGGATATTTTCAAGATAGGCTCTCATGGAACTATTTTCCTGGGTTGGTTTTGAACCGTGATCCTCCTGATCTCTGCCTCCTGAGTAGTGAGGATTATAGGTGTGAGCCACTGGCACCCAGCAAAGGATTTTGATTTTAATGAAGTCCATTTACCTATTTGCTCTTTCATTGTTCATGCTTTTGGTAAAATTTGAGAATTCATCACAAAAGCCAAAATGAATATGAGTTAACTTATTATCTTCTAAGAGATTTATGGTTTTAACACAAATTAAGTCACTTTCCCATTTTGAGTTAGTTTATGCATATGGTATTAGGTACAGGTCTGACTTCATTCCTTTCCCAGCACAATCCACCAAAGAGAGTATTCTTTCCCCCTTGAAAGGTCTTGGCACTCTTATCAAAAATCAATTAGCTGCATACACTGGAAATGAGGTTATTCTCCCAAGGTCATTGCCTGGGCATACGTCATGCCCTAGGCATTTGCATAGCTCTCTAAGTCCCCATATATGTGGGTGATTCTAAATGTCGCTCAAGTTTTCGGCACTTTGCCTCCAGGGTTACTCTGCGCCCAGGCAGCTGCAGATTGTTCACTGTCCTGTGGTGATGTTTCCAAGGACTGCCTTGAGCCTTGTCCCTAAGGGTTCCTAGTCAGGTGAACACAGCACCTTGCATCAATCCTTCAAGTAGCCTCCACAGCGATGAGAATGGGCAAGCATAATTCTTTAAGAATAAGACCCGGAACCAATGACCTCGACGGGGAACACCCACTACTGTCTTCAGGACTGCCATCAAGCCAGAGAAGGGGGTGGAGCAAGGCCAGGTGAAAACGCCCAAGACTTTGTTACTGTTTTTAGGTTTCCTTTTCCTTGGTTCAGCGTTATTTGGTTGGTAAACCTCAGGTTATTATTTAAAGTTCAATAAAGTTAATTCTGCATTTTTTTCCCTTGATTTTTCAATGTTTTACAGAAGGAGAGGCCCTTGGAGTGACTTAATTCACCATTTTCACCAATTTCTCTTTAATTCTTTGGACATATGATAACTGTTTTATTATTATTATTATTATAAATTTTTATTAGGACATATTCATTGTGGGGGGGATTCATAGTGACAATTCCGATTAGACTTATATTGTACATTATTTACATTGCCCTTATCATCTCTCCCCCTCAGCCCCCTCCCCCCCACTTAAAACATTTGCAAAAGGTTTCTCAGTTCTGTTTCATATA